CTTTCTTCAGCTCTTTGTATTGCTTCCAGAACTCTCTGAAGGGATGGTTTTGTGGCCATGAATTCCTTCAGCCTATTTATGTCATGGAAGATTTTTCTTTCCCCTTCAACTGTAATAGACATTTTTGTTGGGTATAGTAATCTGGGTTGGCATCTGTGGTCTTTTAAAACTGGGAATGCTTTGGTCCAGGCTCTTTTGGCTTTCATAGTTTTTACTGAAAAGTCAGCTGTAATCCTGATGGGTTTTCCTTTATATGTGACTTGTTGTTTCTCTTTTTCAGCTTTCAGTATTGTCTCTTTGTTCTGTACTTTTAGTGTTTTTACTATGATGTGCCATGGAGAGTTTCTTTTCTGGTCCTGTCTGTTTGGTGTTCTATATGCTTCTTGTATTTGTATGGGCATGTCTTTCTTTAATTTTGGGAAATTTTCTTCCACGATTCTGTTGAAGATCTGGTTCATACCATTATCTTGGGATTCTTCTCCTTCCTGTATGCCCATGTTTCCTAAGTTTGGTCTTTTTATGGTGTCACACAATTCCTGCATATTCTATTCTTGTGTTTTCTTAAATTTTTCATAATCTTTGCTTGAGTGGTCTAGTTTGTCCACTTTATCTTCCAGTCTTGATACTCTGTTTTCCATTTCATTCATCCTATTGGTGAGGCTTTCTCCTGTCATTTCTAATTGGCTTACTGAGTGTTTCACTTCCTTCTTCATTTCAGCCTGAGTATTCTTCAATATTTCTAACTCTTTACTGAATTCATTCAGAAGTTCATCCCTATCTTCCTTCAGTTCTTTGATTTCTTTGTTTGTATGTTCTTTAAATTCACTGAATTCTTCTTTCATGTCTATAATTGTTCTTTTGAGTTGTCCTGCATTATCTCTAGGGGTTTCTCATTGTACTCCTCTCGGGGACTATTGGTATTTGGTGGGGATATGTTTTTTTGGTGTTTCATGTTATTATTTTTTCTCTGTTATTTTTACATGTGAATTTTTTTGTAGTTTCTGATTCTTCTGTGAGACTCAGGCCTTCAAATTTAGGTGTCCTTTTTTTGTGAACTTTATGTGTCTTTGGAGTTTACTTTTTGGGCGTGAAAAGGTGGTTTGTCTAAGCTTCTGGTTCTCTGTCTTGATTTTGTATTGGAGTGGCCAGATTGCTTTTTTGTTCAGGAGTTCCCACAGAGGCCCAAATCAGATGAGGATCAAATGCTCTCAGGCCTTCTTCTAAGGTCTGGATCCCTCTAAGAAAGATTTTGGCCTCAGGAATTTGGTGGCTGGACTGGCCTGGGAGCCGGGCCCAGGAAAGATACTGGTCTAGGTCAGGTTGTTCCCGTGCCCCACTGGAGATCCAAAGGCAGATGGGGGCAGGACGTGGCCCCAGGGCCCTGGGGCCTGCACTGAGGAGCTGGGATGGTCTGGATGCAAAGGATCAAGAAGAGGAAAGGTCAGTCCCTGCATACAAAGAGGTTGGCAGGTTGTGCAGGCCCAGAGAAGTAGAGGGAGGTGAGGGCGGGGCTAGGCCCAGAGTGCTCCAGGGGACCAGAGAAGGCACTGACTTGGTCTGGATGAAAAGGATCAGGAAGCAGTGGTGGTTCCCCAGGTGTCTGGCTCCCCAAGAGAAGGAATGGGACAGGGTCCAGGCTAGGAGGAGAGATGGGTGGGGGAGATAGGAGGGTGAATGAGGCTGGGGAGTCAAGGCATGGAGGGCACGATGGACTTACCCCAGAGAGAGGCCTGTGGGTCCTGCAGGCCCAGGGAAGCAGAGCAAGGATGGTTTGATTTTTGTAAAAAATTATTTATTGTGTGTTTGTGTGCATGCACATGCAGGTGCACACATATTATGGTGTACATGTGGAGGTTAGAGGACAACTTGGAGGAGTCGGTTCCTTCTTTCCACCATATAGGTCCCAGGGATTGAAAATAGGTCATTGGGCTTGGCACTAAGCACCTTTACCTACTGAGGTCTCTTGCCAGCCCAACATTTCGATTTGCTAAAGTCTAGTTTCACTTAGCATGAGCAAGCTGATGAGTGTTGCCAGTTCCTTAGGTCTTTCTCTTTGTGTCTGTGTCAACTTCACTTGTGAGGTTCCTTCTTCAACAATCATTTGTCTGATCTACGTAAGTTCATTTAAATAGATGTCCAGCCTTCCTGCTAAACATGCACTTTCCTGGCAGCGAGCTTCTCTGTGGGACTTTTGTCCTCCTCTTCAGTCAGCTCCAGCCACCAGGATTCTTTTTTTTTCTCCACTGCAGTCTTCCACATTCCCTTTCATAACTCCCTCATCTTAAAGGATGACATCTCATGCTAATAAAGCAATTTAAGGCATTAGGACAGTCTCTCATTTTCAGTTATAAAACAGTCCAAATGGCCCTCTGAATTCATATCTCTGTACTTATCAATGAGTGCAGCTTTCAGTCCTCATCAGAGAAGTCTCTTCATGCAGTGGGCTGCAGTTAATACGGAAACTCACAGCTGGTAACAGTTCAGAAATTATCCGTGGAGTGCTCAGTCACAAGTGGGACATCTATAGCACACTCTCCCGAAGATTAGGAACCCTTTGTGTGTGTGTGTGTGTGTGTGTGTGTGTGTGTGTGTGTGTATGCGTGTGTAGTGGGGAAAGAGTGTAAAACCCAGGGGTCTGGGAGGACTGGAGTGAAATAGTGTTTTCGGGAATGACAGGACCACTGCACACATGAACTCACAGCAGCTGTGATTGACTGCATAAGATCAAGCCAGTCACCATTCTAGTATGTAAGAGGGAGGGACTCAGGAGTTCCTACCCCTAGCTGAGGAGTGGTTGAAAGTTGATGGCTTCTAGGGGAAGGAGAGTCAGTTGTCTTTAAGGCTGTGATTCCTGGTAGATTGA